TATTTCAGTAGTGGTGTTTAAAAAAAACATCTGCTGAAAACATTCCAGCCATTACAACACTTGAATTAAAAATATTCTGGGTACATCATTCTTTGCTCTAAAGGTGGCATCACCAGTGTCCTGAAATATTGTCACAAGGCAGAAAAAGCAGTGCATGAGTCTCTTTAGAGAAGAATGCCCCCCTCGCAATATAAATTAATGGAAAGTATGGCTGCACCAGATATGAAACAAATAAACAGAATGGTGCACAATAACACTGATTCTGCCATTCCAGTGTAATCTCTTCTGTACTAGATAGACCATGTGATTCCATATTGATGTACTTGATGCAGGTCTCTGCAACAGAATACCTAGCACTACCAAAGATGTATCATGAAGCACCATGGAGAAACATTTTTTTAAAAAAAATATTTTAAAGTTGATATACATACACACATTTGTTTATAGAGCCCACTGTTATTCACCTCTTCTTACAAGAAACTCAAGGCAGCATTTTAAACTATGAACATTTGGTTAGGTAAGGTATGATAGTTACTGACAGTCAGGGCTGAAGGTTACTCTTAAAATACATATAATCAGGGCTTTTTTTTGTAGAAAAAGCCCAGCAGGAACTCATTAGCGTAATAGGCCACACCCAACAGCAGAAATGTATTAGCATATTAGCCCACACCCCTGACAGCACAGGAAAAAAGAGAGAGAGAAGGAAAGAAGGAGAAAAAGAGGGAAAGAAAGAGGGAGAGAAGAAGAGAGAAGGAAAGGAGGAGGGAAAGAAAGAGAAGGAAAGAAATAAAGAGATACAGAGAAGGAAAGAAGGAGGGAAAGAAAGAGTGAAAAAAGGAAAGAAAGAGAGAGAGAGAAGGAAAGAAAGAGGGAAAGAAAGAAAGAGGGAAAGAAAGAGAGAGAAGGAAAGAGGGAGGGAAAGTGGAAAGGAAAGAGGAAAAGAAAGAAGGAAAAAAAGAGGAAAATAAAGAGAGAAGGAAAGAAGGAGGGAAAGGGAAAGAAAGTAAGAGAGAGAAGGATAGAAGGAGGGAAAAAGAGAAAGAAGGAGAGAAGGAAAGGAGGGAAAGAAAGAAGGAAAGAAGGAGAGAAGGAAAGGAGGGAAAGAAAGAAAGTGATGACGGAGGTAAGAATATGGGGGGCAATGAAGAAGGATATGTTGTAGAGTCAGGTTCATTAAAGGAGCAGGTGTAAACTCTACCCTTATAAGGGGTACCCTTGCATCTACCAGTCAAAACAGCTGAAGGAAATAAGTTAAACCTAGGCAACATAAAGGCTCTGTGATGTAGTAAAGGTAAAGGTTCCCTTGCTCAAAAGCCAGTCGAGTCTGACTCTAGGGTTGCGGTGCTCATCTCCGTTTCAAAGCCGAAGAGCCAGCGCTGTCCGAAGACGTTTCCGTGGTCATGTGGCCGGCATGACTAAACACCAAGGCGCACGGAACGCTGTTACCTTCCCACCGAAGTGGTCCCTATTTATCTACTTGCAATTTCTTGCTTTCGAACTGCTAGGTTGGCAGGAGCTGGAACTAGAGACAGGAGCTCACCCTGTCTTGCGGCACCCGGGTCTTGAACCACTGAACTACTGACCTTCCACAGCCTGCAGTTCAGCGTCTTAACCACTTGAGCCACCGCAGCTCCATGTGATGTAGGTAAAGGTAAAGGTTCCCTTGCTTGAAAGCCAGTCGAATCCGACTCTAGGGTTGCGGTGCTCATCTCCGTTTCAAAGCCGAAGAGCCAGCGCTGTCCGAAGACGTTTCCGTGGTCATGTGGCCGGCATGACTAAACACCAAGGCGCACGGAACGCTGTTACCTTCCCACCGAAGTGGTCCCTATTTATCTACTTGCAATTTCTTGCTTTCGAACTGCTAGGTTGGCAGGAGCTGGAACTAGAGAAAGGAGCTCACCCTGTCTTGTGGCACCCGGGTCTTGAACCGCTGAACTACTGACCTTCCACAGCCTGCAGTTCAGCGTCTTAACCACTTGAGCCACCGCAGATGTAGAGGGATTGTCAAATTAGAAAAATACTGAGCCATTGAATCTTGTATAACAGAAGCACTCATTCAATTGCTAGTTAACTGTTCTCTTCAGTTCTAACAGCAATAGGTCTACCTTCTCTCAGCCTTAGTCTGACAGTTTTAATAACATTTCCTTGTTGGTTGTGTGTGCGCCATGACTTCTAACTCTTCAAGCTCCTTCTCTGTCAGCTGATCTTAACTCTCAGAATCGGTTGCATTTTCTGAGGGGCTGAGTGGGGAAGGAGTGGGAAAATTAAAGTACCAGACACGTGAACAAACTACTTATTTATTCAGATATTTATATCCCACTTTCCCCTGTGACTCAAGGCGGCTTACAAATCATACTGAAAAGCAAAATAGTGATGTGCAAAAAAACTGTGTTTTTTCCGTCTCAATTATAGCCTATGGGGAACATTATAGTATCGAGGGAGAGACTGTTCTTTGAGGTAGATTCACCAAATTTGCAGCATAGCTGCTGGTCCCTCTCCTCAACCCCCCCCCCCAAAGTTTCAAAAAGATTGTGCCAGGGGGTCCAATTCTATAGGCTCAAGAAGGAAGTGCCCTGTCCTCCACTGTTTCCTATGGAAGCTTGGTTGTGAGCTGAACAGAAATCCTCTGAGCTGGCCTCTGAAATGTTGTGTGCCAGCACCCCCTACTGCAGTTTAGAGGGAACTGTGGTCTTGAGCAGTTCTGTTATCTTGGAGTTTTTTTGCTTAGCTAATAAATTAGAACAAAGTGCAAGCTTTTGTCTTTGTCTTTTTTACCCCTTGGGCTGGTCTCTTGTCAGTTCACATTCTGCCCAGGGACCTGGGATTAGTTTTTAACACTCTTCTACCTGACAAAGACAGAGGCTGTAACTGAACCTTCCACATGGGAAGACATAGAAAGAATGCTTACCAGCCAAGCAGAAGAATGGAGAAAGGCTGCAGGAGACTCAATCCCTAATCAAAAAACAAACATGGACACTCACAGAACTACCTCCAGGAAACAGGGCAGTAGGATGCAAATGTTCTTGAAAACCAAATATGATGCAAAAGGCAGGCCTTGCTGAATTGGACTATTGTTCTACAGAAGGTATGTTTGCAGATGTACTTATCAAGCCACTTCCACGTGAGAAATCTGAGGGTCTATGCAAGAAAACGAATCTTATGGACTTTGCACACTGGACCTTGAGAAGGGGTGTTGGAATATGCAAGGTCTATCGTGCATAGATAAAGAAAATGACAAGAAAATCCTGCAAGAAGCAGCAGAGGGGACAACTAGTTAGCACAGTGAGATTAGGGACTTCCTACTATTTTCAAATAGTCTCCTTACTGTCTCCTGATTGGCTCAGTTAGGGTTTTTCCTGTTTCTGCTGAGATCTGTTCATTAGTGACTCTTTCCTAGCTAGTTAGACAGACTTTTTCTCTCCTCTTTCTTACAAAGTTTGTTCTCTTCTTAATAAACCAACTTTTATTCTTTAAAATGCTTGTACTCCACTTTACTGCATATCTACACTTTTCCATGAATTTTAAGTCAGCTTTTAAGATACTGTTTAAGTCCCAATTCATACAGGCCACTTAAAGTGCTTTCTAGTCCATCCACTGTTGGTATGCAGATGCCGACAACACTAGGGCTGCTTCAAATGCACTTTCATCAAAGTAATGAGCCAACTGACAGCCACGCAGGAAGGCTGTTTTGGAAGCACATTTTAACCATGTCAGTAAGGTAAAGGTTCCCTTGTTCGAAAGCCAGTCGAGTCCGACTCTAGGGTTGCGGTGCTCATCTCCGTTTCAAAGCCGAAGAGCCAGCGCTGTCCGAAGACGTTTCCGTGGTCATGTGGCCGGCATGACTAAACACCAAAGCGCACGGAACGCTGTTACCTTCCCACCAAAGTGGTACCTATCATCTACTTGCAATTTCTTGCTTTCAAACTGCTAGGTTGGCAGGAGCTGAAACTAGAGACGGGAGCTCACTTCGTCATGCGGCACACTCGGGTCTCGAACTGCTGAACTACTGACCTTCCACAGCCTGCAGTTCAGCGTCTTAACCACTTGAGCCACAGCAGCTCCAACCATGTCAGTAATTTAGAGCAAAGTTGATATCAGTTTATACTGCTAGTCAAAATCTGTTATGCAAATTCATTTTACACTGAGTTGTGAACTGGTTGGCAGCTGTGTGATGTTCTTATGTGTTTTTTGCTTTTCTTTGCCTCAGCTCACCTAGAACACTGGGAAAATAGGGGTGGTGGTGGTGTGTGTGTGTGTGTGTGTGTGTGTGTAGGGGGAGTTAACAGGAAATATATTAACAACTTCTATGTAAACCACTGGCAGTTGGGTTGAGAGGGTTTTCAGAGTTTGGTAAGACAAGCTCAGGAACGACACAATTTCCCCACATCCTGAAGCATTTCTTGACTTTGCCAACTGCCCTGCAGAGCTTTAAAAGTCATACTTAGTGAGCATTTGCTTAGCTGTCTCTGTGCTACATTTGCACCTGTGCTATTGGCACTAGTAGCATGTTTTGAAAGGCTAGAATCTAAGTTTACACTGTAAGCTGGTTCAAACCATTTCTAGGAAGGAAATTACATTTAATTCATATGAGGACATTACTAGCCAACCCAAGACACTGGGGATGAGGTCTTCTTGTAGCTAAAACCTCCTCCACTTTTCTCTGCCTTTTCCTAAGGAAGTCCTTGGAATTCTCAGCAGTCAGAGTCTGGATTATTTATGGTTATTTTTCATATGATGAATGCAAAGTATACTAGGATGCAAATGAATTAAAACTGGTATGCGTATACTTTACATGAAATGCCCCAAAAGTTACATAAAACATTCAAGAAAGACGGTTGGCGACATATGGCAAAAAGATGGTCCATAAAGCCCTCCTCCTGCTCAGTACCAGAATATCACAGAAGATGAAGGAATGAAAATATTTGCTCATTCTAGTCAGGGGGGTCTTTGGTGTTAAAAGTTATTCTAAGGAAAGGCTGGCCTTAGTAATCATGACTTACCTCTTCCCGATGCTCTTCTCCCGAATGCTGAATAAACCACCTAATGGAAGCTTGTTGGGACTTTGGAATACACTCCAGGAATGTTGAATTAAACTCAATGCCAAAAATCACCTTTTCATCAACCACTTCATGACTAATGCCTGGAAAAAAAAACATGGTACAAAAGATTAAACCCGCCTTGAGTTCTTAAAGCAATGGGAAAAGATAAGCAATTAGGAACAGAGGCTATCATAGCACATGAACTGTTAAAGAAAACAGTTTCTTGCAGGAATTCTTTTGCATTCAGTGAAACTGAGGATGGTAACTAGAAAAACAACAACATAGCAGTAGCTGTGCTGAATCACACCAATAGTCTTTCTGGTCCAGGGCTGTTTCATACAGTGGTCAGCTAGTAGCCCAAAGCTTCCTCTGCCTACTGCCTGCCAGTACTGGTATTCAGGGGATTTATTTATTTATTTTATTAAACTTTTATCTCGCCCTCCCCACCGTGGCGGGCTCAGGGCAGCTTATAATACATACTAATGGATGTATACATTAAAATTCCAAAATATATTAAAACAGAGTTCAGTTAAAATTACAAAATATAAAAACATATCTACACAGAATATAAATATGATGACAGATGGTAGCGTTCTCTCAAAATTTAGATGGTCACCTACCCCTAATCTAGGCTGTTGGTTGTCAGGTTGTCAGGTTGGTGTTGGTGTTACGGCCAGGGTCATGATGTTAAAGGCTAATTGAACGCCTGGTGAAGAGCTCCATTTTACAGCTCCGTTTTACAGGCCATCTGGGAGCTCATTCCACCAGTAAGGGGCCGCCACAGAGAAGACCCTGGCTCTTGTTGCAGCCAGCCTGACTTCTTTAGGACCAGGGAAAACCAGGCGATTTTGGGATCGCTCTCTGGGAGTCATATGGGGAAGGCGTTCCCTTAGGTAAATAGGTCTCTGGTCATATAGGGCTTTAAAGGTAAGAACCAGCACCTTGAATCAAATCCGGTATGCTTTAGGCAGCCAGTGCAGAGCTTTTAGGGCGGGCTGGATGTGCTCACACACAGGAAGACACAACAACAACCTCACTGCTGCATTCTGCACCAGCTGCTGCTTCTGGATCTGGGACAAGGGCAGCCCCATGTCGAGAGCATTGCAGTAATCCAGTCTTGAGGTAACCATTGCATGGATCACTGTTGCCAGGTCATCGCGTTCAAGGAGGGGAACCAACTGCCTAATCAGCCATAAGTGGTAAAAGGCCGACTTCGCAGTGACTTCTACCTGGGCCTCCATCGTTAAGGAGACATCAAGGAACACTCCCAAGCTCCTAACGTCCGGCGCTGGCACCAGTGGCACCCCATCGAAGGTCGGGAGAGGGATCCCTAACACTGGCCCGCTCCGACTCAGGCACAGGACCTCGGTCTTCATCGGATTCAATTTCAGTCTAAGCCATGGATTTCAACACCAGGTCCAGATCTCCTGGACTATATTCTGACTGGCCGTCCAACAGAATATAATTCAAGTGTTCACCTTGCTGGAAATCTAACTCTGCCAGACATGGGGCATCACGCAGATTCTTCAATCACTGTGCTCCATATATGAGCCTCATCCCACCAAGTCTCAGTGATACCTATCAGATCATACTTACTTTCCAATATTTGAATTTCAAGTTCCTCCTGTTTATTTCCCATACTCTGTGCATTAGATGGATCACAGCCTTGTCATGGTGAGGGGGCTTGCGTGGTTCGATGAGGCTGTGAGCTATGCCATGGAGGGCCACAGAGGACGGACAGGCCACAGACCAAGTGTGATCCCCTGGAGAAGGAAATGGCAACCCACTCCAGCATCTTTGCCAAGAAAACCCCATGGACGAGGGCTTCCGGTTGATGGCGGCATGCTCACGGACTCACCTCCCGGACCTCCCGGGGGTGTCTCCATGCTCTGGCGGATGGAGGGGGTGAGCAGGCTCGTAACCCCCCCAGGAGCCCGGGAAAGGGCACCTGGCCAAGGAGCTTTGAGGGGGTAGCCTCTTCTCTGTCCGAATGCCAGGGAATCAAGGCTCCCCCTTGCTCCAGTGGTCCGTCCGGCCAAGAGACCTGATGGTACAAGTGAAGCTAGCCGGATCAAGTTCAGGACATCAGGCGTTTGAAATGATGAATGAAGAGGGGTCGGAAGACCAACTATGAACGTGAGTCAAATGAGAACTGATTTTAAAACGAAAAGACACTCCTTACCCGAAGCGGTGAAACGGCAGAAGCTAGTGGTGGGAGGGACGCCTCCCATGTCCATAAATCGTTGAGCGAAAGGGGAGGGAGTGGAAGAATAAACAAGAAATTACCCAGAAGTACTCATCCATTGAGCTATACAGATAAGCGTATATTCAGAGACTTTAAAATTTATTGCGAAAGCAAACAAACGAGATAAAGATGGCAGGGAAGAGGGACAAAGAGAAACTTTTAAAAGCGAAACTAGAGTCCCCGAAGGTGCCGGAAACGACCAGTGAGACAACGAAGGCGATGACAGAGGTCATGCACCCTCTGCTGGAACAGCTCAATGTCTTTAAAGAACAGATGTCTATGGTAACAGCGAATATTACTGTACAACAAAAGCAGCTGCAAGTTGTGACAACAAGCATTACTGCTCAACAAACGCAAATAACGGATTTGATTCAAGTAATGAAGCAGGATGCTGAGAAAGCAAAGGAAATGGCTGAGACAGCGCAGATAGTGAGGAAAAAAGTGCAAAAATTGGAAAAGAAAACTGTATCTTTGGAAGATCAGATGCTGCAGGTGCAAATGGATAAGGCTAATATGGTCCTGCGCTTCCAAGGGGTGCCAGAGAAAAGAGGAGAGAATCTTAAAGAACTTATGAGTGAGCTACTTGCCCCAGTAGCAGATATAAAGGCAGACTTGCTGCTCAACGACATGGATGTGGCCTACAGGTCATATTCAGGATACATAAAGAAAAATAATCTGCCTGGGGAAATTGTAGTAAGATTCTTGAAGAGGCACGTCAGGGATGCTATCCTGAAAGCAGTTGCTGCGACACCCCTGAAGGTGGGGGAGAATGCTGTCAGAACGCTAAAGGATATTCCATTTGAAGTAAGACAACGCAGAAAGAAATACAAAGAACTTGTGTTTTTCCTCCAAACAAACTCAATTGGATATAAATGGCTGTTTCCAGAAGGAGTAATATTCAAGATCAAGGAGAAGAAGGTCAAGATTGACTCTGTTCTTAAAGCTCAAGAGTTTCTAAAGGAGCAGCTGGGAAGGCCAGAGGACGAGAAAAAAGAAGAGGACGATAAGTCCAGTGGAGAGCTGGAAACTGGTTCGTCTGATGAGGACTCTTTGTCTGAGCAGGTGGCATCAGCCCCGAAAAGTTCCTACAAACTGCAGAAGAGAGAGAAGAAGTTGGAGATCTCCTCTCTTGGGTTTTTAGTTAGTAGTGGGTTCTTTACTTTCTCCCTTATATGTAGCTTTCCCTTTCCCTTTTTTTCTGTTTTAGTTTTTGTAGTGTTTAAAAAATCAATAAAAAATCCCCTCCGGGGTCTTAAAAAAAAGAAAGAAAACCCCATGGACAGTAACAAAAGGCTAAAAGATATGACACCGGAAGATGAGCCCCTCATGTCGGAAGGTGTCCAATATGCTACTGGGGAAGAGCAGAGGGCAAGTACAAGTAACCCCAGAAAGAGTGAAGTGGCTGGGCCAAAGCCGAAAGGACGCTCAGTTGTGGATGTGTCTGATGGTGAAAGGAAAGTCCGATGCTGCAAAGAACAATACTGCATAGGAACCTGGAATGTAAGATCTATGAATCAAGGTAAGCTTGCCGTGGTCAAAAATGAGATGGCAAGACTTAACATCGATATCTTAGGAATCACTGAACTAAAGTGGACAGGAATGGGAGAATTTAACTCAGAAGACCGTTATATCTACTACTGTGGCCAGGAATCTCGTAGAAAAAATGGTGTGGCTTTTATAGTCAACAAGAGAGTGCAAAAGTCAGTACTGGGATACAATCTCAAAAATGACAGAATGATTTCGGTCCGATTCCAAGGCAAACCATTCAACATCACAGTAATCCAAGTCTATGCCCCAACCACTGATGCAGAAGAGGCTGAAGTAGACCGATTCTATGAAGACCTACAACACCTCATAGAACTAACACCAAAAAATGATGTCCTCCTCATCATAGGGGACTGGAATGCTAAAGTAGAAAGTCAAAAGGTAACCGGAATAACAGACAAGTTTGGCCTTGGAAAGCAAAATGAAGCAAAATGAATGCCAAGAGGCACCTCCAGATCATGTAAAGACTGAAGCAGACTCTACTATTGAAGAATACCAGAATAGGGCTGGGTCTAAGGCATCCATATTGTGCCTACAAGACCACGTCCAAGTTCCTAAACAATTTGATTGTTGCCCATTGAGAAAGGTCCCAGAGCAAAGTGGTTAAATAGCTGTTGTACATGCCCCATTCACCAGTTCAGACTTTTACAAATGGAGATCTCAAATGACCAAACAATGTCCATGGCAGACCCACAATAGGGTAACCACACTGAAGTAGATAGAGTAAGGCATCAGAGATACAGAGAGGTGTTGCTCAGTGGTTTGGCACAGGCGGATTTAAAGCAGATAAATTTTGGCAAGTTGTATGAAGAAAGAAAGGAAGAAGATACTTCTGCTTTTCAGAACCATTTGATAAAGGCTTTTCAGAAGTTTGAGGCAGCAGAGAATTGTGAGATATTGAATATCATGTTTATGGGACAAGTCATGGAGAATATTAGAAAAGGTTATGGAAGCTGGATGATTGGCAGACTAAAAATATGTCTCCTTTGGTGGATGCTGCATATTGACCTCAGCCACACGGGCAGGAAAATGCAGGGGGGAGGCGTGGCTGTTTGCCCCGGAGCAAAATAACGCGCGACTGCGTGATCAGGCGTTAGGTTGAGGTCCCGTCGAGCTCCCATGGTTAGGGGGGAGGTGCGGAGCAGCGCGGCAAACAGGGTTGTGTTGTGTGTGTTTTTTTAACTGAAATGTGCGCATGCTCCGTTGGGTACTTGTGCGCATCCCATGGAGACTTGGAAAAAAACCCTTTTTGCGAGGGGACATGGGCGGGCGCCGGATGCCACTGGAAACGCGATCAGACGCCCACCCTTGCCCCGCGGTTTTCAGAAACTAGTACCTCGGAGGTACTAGTTTTTTACCCCGCATCTTTGGCGAGAAGCTCTACGCTTCCCAGATGTGGTGCTGTGATTGCGCTCGGAAAATCCACCTATCTTCCGTCTCTCTAGCGTGGCTAATGCTCCGTGTGACCGAGGCCATAGAGTGTTTATGAACAGAAATTTGAAGAAAGTGCAAGAGAAAAGTCATAAGAAGAGGCAAGCGAAGGTTTTGGTGGTCAGGGTCTGCCCTGAGAAGAGAAATAAGGGAAGTTTCAGAAAGATGGGCACAGGAAAGCCCAAGAGAAAGGACCTTGCGGTCTGTGGAATGAACCCTTGGGAAGGAATGTGTGAAGAGAAGAAAGGAACCAGAAATTTGCAGATGGTTGAGAAGGAAGAAGAGAGTGATTGAAAAGGTTAGCCCAGAGGGACTAAGAAATTTGAACAGGAAGTTTGTTGTTGTTGATGTGGATGGCTGCCTCCAAAAGTTTTGACTCCAATATAATTTGAATATCAAGCATAGGTTTCTTTTAATCCCAGATTGCTCAATAGCTCTTTTGGGATGGGACCTTTTGTGTAAATTGTAAGCTGTGCTCATGTTTTCTGAAGGTGGTGCAGGGCCCCCCAAATGCCCAAACATCAGATGCTTGCTTATGAAATGCTACTGCAAACAACAAATAAGCATAAGAAAGAGAAGGGTATACCACCAGTTTTTGAGCAAGTAGATCTTCAGGTTTGAGCTGAAGAAGGCTATCCTGGTAGGGCAAATCCTCTGCCCTCTTGAAGGAAGGAATTCAGTCAGTCAAGCGTCATTAATGCCTCCTCTTCAGGGAAGCCCAATAAGTCTGAAGCTAGTTTTGGACAAGCTAAAGCAAGATGGCTTATTAGAAGGTGGATCATCCCCCTTCAATACTCCCTTCTTAGTAGTGAAGAAGAAAAGTGATGGTTCAGGGGGAGCTCCCAAGTTGGCAACTAGTGTGGGATTTGTGGGCAGGAATGAGAGAATCCAGTCTCACTCCCTATCCAGTGGTGCTCAACCCCCACACTATCTTAACCACCATACCTGGAACCCATGGCTCACAGTTTTAGATGAATTTTATACCACTGCCTCTTGAGAGCCTTGTGAGGTTGGACTAGATAACCCTGGAGGTCCCATCCAACTCTATGATGCAATGATTCTATGAATATAATTGAGGTGGGGGGAATTGAAAGCAGTTAGGTTTCCTAAATCAAAGATTAAGCTAAATGGAAGAACTATTGTACTAACCGCAGTCTTTTCTATTAGTTTCCCTGCTTCAAAAAAGAAAAAATAACCCAAGCTGAACACTTGATTTATATTCTGTTGTCAAGGAAATTTCAACTTAACCACAAGATTGTTGATAATATATACTGCAAGTCAGTGTTGCCAGTTACCAGGAGCCAAAGCTCGACAATTTGGTAAGCTCAGGACAGAAAACTTGTTGTCTACAAAAAAGAATTGCACTACTCTTTTAAAGGAACAGACCAATGCTTGTTCATAAGATTTAAGATGCTATTGCCTTATACCCACAATGGAAGAGATGAATACATTCTTTTAGAAATGTATTTAGAGATGCAAATACTTACTGTCTTCAACATCCCAGCACTGAGTGATTGGGTCTCCATATTTGACATCTTGCCTCCTTGCCCGCCTAGAAAAGAGCATCAAGTTGATAAGGCTTTCTGAAGTCATGTATATAAGATGGTGCTTAGATGACATATATGTAAGTCATGTATATAAAATGGTGGTTAGATGAAGTAGACATGCAGAAGCTCCCCCCTCCTGATAGCAGCATTTGTGAATGAGACATCACTAAGATCAACAAGAACACTCATAGAATCATAGAGTTGGAAGGAACCTCCAGGGTCATCTAGTCTAACCCCCTGCACAATGCAGGAAATTCACAAATGCCCTACACACACCTCCAGTGACCACTGTTCCATGCCCAAAAGATGACAAAAACCTCCAGGATCTCCAGCCAAACTGGCCAGGAGAAAAATTGCTTCCTGACTCCAAAATGGTGATCAGCATTTCACTAGGTATGTAAGAAAGGGCCATAAGAACTAAGCACTGATGCAACCTTTCCTGCCCTCTCTCTCATGATCAGCCTAAGTTCACAGAATCAGCATTGCTGTCAGATGGCCATCTAGCCTCTGGTTACAAATCTCCAAAGAAGGAGAGCCCACCACCTCCTGAGGAAGCCTGTTCCACTGAGGAACTGCTTTGTCAGGAAGTTCTTCCTAATATTTAGCCGAAAACTCTTCTGATTTAATTTCAACCTGTTGGTTCTGGTCTGACCTTTTGGGGCAACAGAAAACAACTCCGTACCATCCTCTATATGACAGTCCTTCAAGTACCTAAGATGGTTATCAGATCACCTCTTAGTCATCTCCTCTCCAGGCTAAACATACCCAGCTCCTTCAACCTTTCCTCATAGGACTTGGTCTCCAGAGCCCTCACCATCTTCATTGCCCTCCTCTGGACATGTTCTACTTTGTCTATATTCTTCTTAAATTGTGGTGCCCAAAACTGAACACAATACTCTACGTGAGGTCTAACCAGAGCAGTGTAAAGTGGTATCATCAGCTCACGTGATCTGGACACTATAATTCTGTAGACACAGCCCAAAATCACATTTGCCTTTTTAGCTACCGCATCTCACTGCTGACTCATGTTCAGTGTATGGTCTACTGAGACCCCTAGATCCTTTTCACACATACTACTGCCAAGACAAGTGTCCCCCATCCTATAATTATACATTTGATTTTTCCTACCTAAATGCAGAACTTTACATTTATCCCCATTGAAATTCATTTTATTTGTTTTAGCCCTATTTTGCAGCCTGTCAAGATCATCCTGCATCCTGACTCTGTCTTCTACTGTATTTGCTACCCCTCCCAATTTAGTATCATCTGCAAATTTACTAAGCATTCCCATAACTTTCCATATAACTAGAAGCCAACATTTTTAATGGGAATAGTCCATACCTTTGATTGACACTCATTAAGCACGGAGTAATCAAAAGCCGTGTTTTCTATACTGGTTAGCATGTATTTCTTAGGTTTTTTAGAACTTCAGTGCATGTTAATGAAAGAGAGAATTTCTTGCCAGAGACACACATCCGTAAAATCCACATAAGATTTTCACTCTTCATTTCTAATGTTATATGAGGTCTGCTCCAGATTCATGCATGCTCCCAACTAATGTATATCTTTGGATACTCAGTTTGTGTTTTCTGTTCCTAGTTTTCGTGGTCTGCTGTTCACAGTTCTGGACTCGCCCCTAGCCAGGTCATAACTCTGTCTCTAACACTTCCAGTCATGATTGATGTCATGTGATTCAGATACATGCCATCTGGCCACAAAGTCATGCAATTTTCTATCATTTCCTTGCATGTTCAGTGTATCCTGTGCTCCCACATGGAGTTGAAGGCAGGTCCTGGGATTACGCTTCAGATTTCTCCTCTCCTTCTCTGAAATATTTCTTCTCACTCCTGAGCTCTGCAGCAGTAATGCCAACTTGACTTAAACTGAGAGTCAAAACTGAATCAACATCCACTCTTACCAGTTCTAATCCTTTTAACTAGTTTACAGGAGTAATCCAGAAAAATCTGAGTTTAGTTGGCTTCAAGGCAGCCTTGAAGATTTACTTGTCTGGGCAATCTGAGTATTTTGACTGTACTACCAATTCAAATTGATATTATGTTGGGTCTGGCTTTACTAATTTAAGATACTAGATGTTTTTATTACATTTTGTACTGTGTTATTATGTACTGTAATTGTACTTCACTTTCACAATGAAAAAATGGCTCATATATTTCTTAATAGTAATTAATTGTTTATGAAATCCATGCCTATATACTACACCAAATGCCAGTATCCAGAGGCAGATCACAGACATGGGACCCTGACAAATCTCTATGGTTGATAACAGTGTTGGGCTCGCCCATGTGTCTTCTCATGCTGCTCTGGCAGTGCACATCAAAAATGCCACCACAGTGGGATCATAACACACACCCATTCTTAGACACTCATGGATGATGAGGCAAACTATGCAAGGATTTATTTTATTTTTTTTACCTTTTTGAGGTTGGTGTATATCTGGAACAAGAATTTCCATCCCAAGCACAGTATGGGTCCCTGGCAAGGCAACAATCGGCACAAGCCTTTCCATATGTGTGACATCTGTACAGCGAGAGCTGAACAAACCCATCTCTGGAACCAATGTACAGTTGTTGCTGGAAATTGAGCATGGAAAATTAATTAAAAGCTTTCTGCAAGCAACTCTGGGTTGGTCTCAATTGCCCTTTAGCAATTTTTCATATTTTAAAAATTAACATTTTTATTATTGCAAAATATCTATCCAATCTTAAATTTGCACAACAAATACAATTTATGTTCCAATAGGTCATTAAGGGGCTCCATTTGTCTAAGTAACCTCAGTTTTTATCACCCCCAAAAGGTCTGACCCACTGTCAAGTTCAGCAATGCCCAAAGCCTTCTGCAGCTATTCAGGTATTTTTCCAGTGCGTCAAAAGGACAGTCAAGTAACCAGGGCCGGCTCTATCACTAGGCCAGCTAGTGTCTGGCCTAGGGCGCGCCGGCCCTCAGGGGTGCCAAATTGCGCCCCGCCCCCCAAACCCCGCAACCCGCCGCCCTAACCGGGCGCCCGCCCCTCTGGCGCCCTTAGCAACTCAGGAGTGCCCGGCGGAGGCAGCAAGGGAAGCTTTTGCCGGGGAACCCGCCGGCAGCATGTGGGGGGCGTGGTGCGCGGGCGGCCGTGGCTCTGCACTTCAGAGCTGCGCACCCCTGCGATCCTGCTTGCTCCTTGCCGCCACACCCTCTTCCACGCCACCGGCCACCGCCCCCTGTGGCTTCTTTGCCCGGCAGAGAGGCTGCAGCAGGGGCGGGGGGAGGCGAGCAGCGGCGGCGGCTGAGAGGGGGGAGGCAGCAGCACACCTTGCCGCCTGCCATCTGCTCACCCTGCCTCCATCTCCTCCTCTCTCAGCAGTTGGGGAATCAGGAAAGGAAAGCCTCTCTCTCACGCGCCCGTACCCCCCCCCAGCGGAGCTCCCTTTAAAAAGTAGCCCTGATAGTGGCGGAGTACCCGCACCCCCCGCGATCCTGCTTGCTCCTCGCCGCCACACCATCTCCCATGCCGCCAGCCCCCGCCCCCTGTGGTTTCTTCGCCTGGCAGAAAGGCTGCAGCAGGGGCGGGGGGAGGCGGGAGGCAGGAGGCGAGCAGCGGCAGGGTGACCCTCCTCCCAGTCTGGTTCTGGCGGAGAGGTCTCCAGGCCCCGCCGGGATGTTGGCATCTGCGCTTGCCTAGAGCACAGGACAACCTCGGGCCGGCCCTGCAAGTAACCAATCACCAGGTATGGCATAACATCTTACTACTGATTTATTTAAATTTGTACTCTAGCCTGGCCCCAAAATTCAGTGCACATAACATTGAAAACTAGATTGAAAAATCTTAAAAGAATCTTTAAAAAACAAACGTACCCAGTGTCGATTAAAACATTAAAACATCCTATCCCAGCCAAAACCCAAGGGACCGCCTTTTCCCGTATGTTCCCTCAAGAGCACTGCGATCGGGGAATCTCCATCTCCTGGACGTCCCAGGCCCCCAAAGTGTGAAGCTTGCCCAAACTAAGGCCAGGGCTTTTTCGGTGGCGGCTCCTACCTGGTGGAATGAGCACCCGGAGGAGATCCGGGCTCTGCGGGACCTTGTACAGTTCCGCAGGGCCTGCAAGACGGAGCTCTTCCACCAGGCCTTTGAGTAGGAGCCGCCACCGCCACTATTCCACCACTGAGATTCCATCATCCATCTACCCCATTACTGGGGGGGTAGATGTCGCCCGGCAGAGATGAGGAGAATATCATTCCTGGTGCTCATGCCATTAAAAAAGTCGGCCGCCAATGTGAAATGGTGTTCATTGTGCGCATCTTGATGATTTTATGTAGATTATTAGAGCACCGATTTTATTATGTATGAAATATTGTTTTACTGTTTTAAGTTTTTAATTCGGCATTGCCGCTTGTTAACCGCCCTGAGCCGCTGGGTAGGGCGGGATATAAATCCCTAAATAAATAAATAAATAAAACAGAGACATGCTGCGATTCAGAATTTTCACAAATCTCTGCTGGAAAGGACTTCTGAAATCACCTCTTCTCTCCTATAGTAATGTTAGGCTATCAAGTTAGTGGTGAAATCCTCTATAGAGTACATTGCATTTAAAAACAGGATCTGTACCTGATATTCTGAAATATGGTATTATGTATTTGAACTCTTTTACTACTGATTAGGAAACATCTACTAAGAGACAGGGGCCCAAAGCAGATGAAATTAGTTGTCATACTAAAATCAATGAGGCAAGTTAAGGAGCAAGCCTAACAAACAGGACTACTCGATATGGGACTACTTGAAAATAATGGAAGTTTATTAAACAGGGCTTACTACAAGTAAAGTTGTGGTGTTTTTTTTTAGGATTGCAGCCTCAGTCACCAACTAATTTGATTTCAGTGGGACAAAATAAGATGGCCTTCTTTGGATTGAGGCTTCTGGAAAGGAGAGAAGTTATTTATCTCTCACCCATTTTCTTTTCTTTTCTCCAAATCGGAAAGCATTTAGAATTACTAGGAGATACTTAGACAGGGAAGTAGACAAAAAAGAGTAGTTAGGAGAGACATACCATGTTATTACCATCAATATACATTGTCATGTTACACAACAATAAAAATTAAAACATATCACAAACATTTATTAAATGCCATACAAGGTCAGGCCATAATCCTTAAGGCATCATTTGCAAAGCAAGCAAACTGCAGATGCTAAAACTATCATACAACCCTAATTGCAAATTACCTGCTTTGAGGACATCTCCATTGTCAAGATAGGTGACGGATGCTGAAAAGTGAACAGATGAACAACAGTTGAGATACATACTCAATACTGCTCATTTCCTTTTTTTGGGGGGGGGGGGCCGAAGGGGGATATATATATATATATATTTGCATTTTCTACACACTACATTAATGGAGCTGCGGTGGTTCAAGTGGTTAAGACGCTGAACTGCAGGCTGTGGAAGATCAGTAGTTCAGCAGTTCGAGACCCGGGTGCCGCAAGACGGGGTGAGCTCCCGTCTCTAGTTCCAGCTCCTGCCAACCTAGCAGTTCGAAAGCAAGAAATTGCAAGTAGATAAATAGGGACCACTTCGGTGGGAAGGTAACAGCGTTCCGTGCACCTTGGTGTTTAGTCATGCCGGCCACATGACCACGGAAATGTCTTTGGACAGCGCTGGCTCTTCGGCTTTGAAACAGAGATGAGCACCGCAACCCTAGAGTCGGATTCGACTGGCTTTCGAGCAAGGGAACCTTTACCTTTTACACACTACATATATATGGAATGGGGAAAGGAGTACTAATGCCCTATCACTATTACTATGGGAAATGGGTCAGGGAAGTCTAAATACATATAATATACTAGATAAGGGGAGGAAAAACTACCATTCTATCCTAAATCTCCTATTGGATATGGGGAAGGGGTAGAGACTAATACAAATCACGATCTAAAAAAGCTTAAAAATAGACCTTTTTAACCTATTAGTACAGGTTATACAGAGATTAGTTTGATTATAAAAAGTATAAAGTTATTAGCTTGGCACAATTACTGCCCTTAGCACTCATGCTTTAGTTTTAGAGTCTTTTCTTCTTAGGTGTCTTCATTTTCTGCAGTTTGGGAGTGGCCTCTCCTTTCTCCGATTCAGATTATTCTGATGACGAGGAAGTTTGGCTTGTTGAGTCCTGTGAGTAGGATTCCTCATCTTCTTCTTCCTCCGCATTCGTTTTTAAATTCTTTTCCTTCTGCTTCTTTTTTACATTAAGTATTTGATCCAAAAATCTTTCCGCTTTTGGAACAGAGTCAATTTTATATTTTTTATCCTGGTAATTAAAACTCAACCCTTCCAGAAATAGCCATCTATACTCTATTCCCTATTTTTGCAGAGAGAGAGTAAGCATCCTGTATAGTTTCCTCTTTTTTTCTTACTTCAAATGGGATGTCTTTCATAAATTTTATCTCTTCATTCTTGATTTTTAAGGATTTCCCCATTGTTCACTTCAGCCCCAGTTCCCGGGTTGATCGTTTCGTGAATTTTAAATAAGTTTCCCCTGGGAGTTTATTTTTCTTTATAAAGTCCGGGAAAAAAAAAATAAAAATAAAGTCCGGATAAGTCCTGTACGCCACATCCATTTCCTTAATTAAGTCTTCTTGTTTGTAATCCATTAGTGAGGCCAAGGCAATCACCAAAAGTTCCTTTAGATCCTCATTCTTATCCTCAGGTATTCCATGGAAACATAGAACATACATGGATCTTTCCACCTGGAGCTGTATTAGTTGCGTTTTATCCAAGGATCTCTCCTTCTCTGCTTCATCCACTCTTTTATTAATACTCTCAGTCTGTTTTTCCATCTTTTTCAATGTTTTCTCAGTTACTTTAGTTCTCTTGTCCATTTGCTTTAGCTGTATCTGCACCTTGTCCAGTTTGGTGTTGAGAGTAGTCATCTGTTCCATTAGAGGGCGCAGTGCATTTGCTAACAGCGAAGCAAGGTCTGTAGATGCTTCCTGGTTCTGGGAGGGAGTCGTTGGTATGTTATTTCCGGTCACCAGTTTTTTCTCCGGCGCTCTCCGTCCTCTCCCAGCCATAATGTCAACAAGAAGTAAGTTTTCCAAAACAAAGCAAAAGTTATACGTTTTAATTCCGCTTCGTATATTTTAGCAGCTTTTGCGTTCGCTTAACTTCTTATGCGCTTGGTTTGGCTCGAAATCTCTTTATTTTCACTTTAAAACCATTTTTTACAGTTTACTCCTGGGGGGGCTTGAAATCTCCTCCCCCCGCTCTTCAAACTTAGGCGCTTCCAATTACTACCAAGGCTCCATTCACTTATTTTTCACCTGAGCTTTGCTTAACTCACAGTTTGTAGCCTTGGAGATCTTTTGGAAGTCTTTTTAATGAATTGGTCGTGATCACTTGCTCCGGCAGTCATCTCTAGGCGCCATACTGGCTCCGCAGCAACGCAGGACGAACTCGAACCCCTTCCGTCAGCCAGGTCTCGGCGTGTCTCCATCCAAGCAAGACGAGATGTGTCTGAGCGGTGAAATGCTTAGAAACTCCCAATACTGCTCATTTCTAACCCATCTGTCCTCACCCTGCGTCCTCAGGTGTGCCACGAGTGCTACCAGAAGTTTGGTGAAAACCCTGGGTGCCATCTTCAGGCTGAATGCAAAGGCCCAGTACTGGAAGTGCTTCCCATCATAGGTGAACCGCAGGAACCTCTGATAGGCTAATCAAATGGAGATATGAAGATAGGCTAGGCTAATCAAATGGAGATATGAAGATAGGCTTTGGAGAGGTCTATAGAGGCCAAGAAGACTCCCTTCTGAATGGAGGCCACAATGGATCTCAGGTTCTCCATTCTGAATTTCTTCTTTCCTATCCTCCTGTTTAACCATTTGAGGTCCAGGATAGCTCTGATGTCCCCATTTTTCTTTGGGACCAGAAAAAGAATGGCATAAATGCCCAAAGTCCATTGTGCCTTGGACACTGGCTCAGTTGCCCTGATATCCCGCAGGTGCTGGATGGCCTGCAGAAGAAGGAGATGGTTATGTTTGGAACATTTCCTGAGGATCTGAAGAAAATGGTTGCCCTGTGTCATGCTGAATTCTAGTGATTATCCATTGGTGACCATGTCCAAGACCCATTTGTCTGAGATGGAGAGTTCCCATTAATCTGCAGACCGTCCCAGCCACCCCCGACTCCTGGAGAGACTGAAGATTCTGGACAGTGAGAAAGAGGGAGCTTTGAAACCCTCATTGTTCTGACCTGCTTTGCTGTAGTTGACTGCTCCAATGGAACTCTGCTGTTTTGGTTGCCACATATCCTTTAAGGGCCTGGAAGAACTGGGTCCTGATCTCTTTGATCCTTTAAAGGAATGAAAGTATCTCCTACCTTTACTATGCTTCTTCTTGGAAGGTAGGGACTTCTTCTTATCTTTGTCTTCCACAAGGTATTTATCCATACCTTCTCTGAACAAGTTGCCACCCTTGAAAGGCAACTTGCTACCTTGGCCTGGGCTGAGTGATCCACCTCCCAGTTCCTTAGCCAGGTGTTGCACCTGGCTGTGACACTCAAGGCCATGGCTGTAGCTGACAGCTGTATGGAATCCAAGGAAGTGTCAGCTGCAAAGACTGTGGCCAGGGTGCTCTTCTTCAGCTCATCCTTGGTTGCCTTGGGAACATCACTATCCACTGCTGCCAGATCAGAAGCCCAGGTATAAGCTGCTGTAGCAAAGAGGGAGCAGGTGGTGGAGGCCCTCAGAGATGTGGAAGAGGCTTCAAACTCCCTGTGTAGAGTTTGTTCAATGCACATCACAAGGATCCCTGGGGGAACCATCACATCAGGAGCACAAAGGTGAAGCACAAACTGGCCATGGGATCATCCACTAGAAGAAGCTTAAATTTCTTGGCTGCCTCAGGAACTAAAGAATTAAACGTAGAAATAATATTGTGGTTAGCCTTTGGTTTGGTGGGGGCATCCCACTCTGAATTGACCACATTATTAAAAACAGCAGGAAAAGGAAGCCCTAAAGGGGCCCTCCCAGCCTTGGGCAGAGCTCTGAATGCGCCATCCAGAAAGTTTGAGTCTTGTTCTGCCTTTTCCTTGGTGTTGTAAGGGATTTCAAGAGCCCACAATACCTTAGGTGACTGCTTACTATAGAACTTCTGATGGAAGAGTTGCGTTTGCATGGTTGTTACAGTGGGTTCTTCTTCCTTTGAGAGCTCTCCTCCCTCCCTAGTGGAACAGGCATCTGAAACTTCTAAGTCCCTAGAGCAGAGCCCCATCAAAGGACTGGGTTCCGTGGAATGGCTGGGGGACTGTCCCAGCCTTTTTTTCTTGTAAGGAGGAGGGGATCTGTCTTCCCTCCTGCCTCTGGAGGTGCTGCTGGAAGTGTGGGATCTCCCTTGCCTGCTGGAGGACCTGGGAACTAGCTTCATGAACTCCCAAAACTCATTTCTCATCTTCTTGATCCGGCCCGGAAAATGGGTCTGAGCATTATTGCCTGAGAGATCCAGGGTGGGAATTCCCTCCATTGGGTTTTCCTGTTGGGACCTGGGATGGAGGAACCTGCAGGGGAATTTGGGAGAACAATGTCCGACACCACACTCTCTGGGGTAGGGTTGCCAAATGGGGCCGGGGGTGGGGAATCCCCCGCTTTGATGGCCCGATTTTTGACGCGACAAAAATCGGGCCCGGGGGAAACCCCACCCCGCGTCACCCGGATGTGATGTCGCACGTTGGGGGCGGGCCATAGCCATTTGAGGGGAAAACTCTATGTTTTCCCCTCAAATGGCCGTGGCCCCACCCCCAGCGTGCGACGTCACATCCTGGTGACGCGCGCGCGTGCACACACCCCGGACGCCAGCCGGAAGCCCCTGCTCCCGGCCGAAAACAATTTGGCAACCCTACTCTGGGGGCTAAGAAGAGGAAAACCCCACCTTGGCAGCCATTTCCCACTCAAAGGGCAGAAGTGAAAGTGAAAGTGTCCTGCTGGTGCTCCCCTCCTCAACCTTCTAACTTTCATGGTGAACCAAAAAGGAAACCAACAGGCCTTATCAGGATTTAGCAGCAGGTGGCAATGGCTGAACAACATCTGGAACCCACTGGAGTCTGTCTGTGGCTGCTGGCTGGCCCCCTTTTGGAGCCCAGGAAAAAATCACATTTGCACCAAGGTGCTCCAGCAGTGAAAACAAGCTGCCCTCCACCTGCTCTAAGCTCCCCAAGCTGAACCACCACCACTTGTATCCTTGTGTGGCAAGGGGCAGGCTCCCAGCCTGAGGGCTAGAGGTCCCTGCAGCTAAGGCACGCTGAAGGAAGACGGGCCAAGGAAGACTCCTGGCCACTGCTCCTATTCCCTCTAACCACTAGAACATGGTAGGGGGAGGGAGAACCTGTCCCCGCTCCTCTGTGAGCTACCCTGGCCTAGAGGAGAGTGATTCCAAAAGGATAGGACAAATGTCCAAAGAAAGGGGGGGGGGGAGAAGAAACTTAGCCCAGAAATTGCAGCGCTCACTAGAGCACAGTGATAAGTGTCCTACACCTTAGGGCAGGGCCAAAGAACTGGAGTTATGGGATTTAAGCTCCTCCCCTTCAGGAATTGCACAGATAGAGACCCTGGCCTTGAAGAGGAGGAGCTACAGTCCAAGAAGTAAAGGACTGCCCCATTCCGGACCACTGAAGAATAAGCCCTCTCCTTTGTAGACAACCTTGCTCCTGGAGAAGGAACACATGGGAGAAAACCTGGATCCAATCTTGAATTGGTTCCAGAAGCAAACAGACAACCAATGAACAGGACCGGCAATAAGTGATCTCTGTAGTCAATTCTGGACACAGTCATATTGGTCATGAAAGCTATTTAGGGGGGGAGCAGGGGAAGAGATACACCCACCGCATCATCATATAAATGGTGCACTGGATACAGCCCTGTCTGCTTATGTAATTCTGGTATGACTATCTAAGTGAACTGTAGTCACTTTCCCCTTTCCATTTTTCCCCCATAGGGAAACAAAAACAGACTAGAGGCAAAATTTATAATGTGGAGGAACATCTGCTGAGCTAAATCTTAAATCTGATACGTTGCCTTGCCCTGTGATGTGATATTGCAAGAATGCAGCAAATTGGTACATGATTATTTGGCAGCCCATAGAGTACTCTTGGTATTTTCAAAATGATAGTTGTTTTTTGTGTCCATGATAGCAGAAAGAAGGTACTGTGTTAGCTGCAACACCGGGTCTCTTTTTAAGCTATGATGGGAGAATTTAGCTAAGAGGCTGTTGCTTAATAGGTGCACAAGCTAGGGATTGTACTTCAACTTTTCCAGAGCCAGAACCCTCTCAGAGTGGCACAGATGACAGACAGGAATATCCTTTATGAAATGTATTAAGAAAATAACCCTAACACATTCAGCTAATTTTACTAAAATATCACACACACACACACGAGCTAGGAAATAAAGGGGTGAAGTGAACTTAAAGAGATCAGAGACAAAAGAGGGTGAAGCGTTGATGAGGATGGGGTTTATAGCTACTTGTCCAGATGTGCAGACGTCCATGGAGAAGGGATTATAGCCCAAACAGAGTTTGGGGGTGAACTGCCAGTTGGCATCCTGGGGCAGACACACATTCTGAGGCCATGTGCTTTGGAGGATATAGACATTGGAAAACAATGCAGACCAATGGGAGGCCTTAAGGGGCTTGTATCAGGTGAAGACAAAAGATTACCTGGACCAATAAGGGGTCCCAGGGTGTGTGACACCAAGAGGAACAAAACCTAGGTTTGACCAATGAAGCCTCAGAAGGGCAGAGTTTGGATTCATAATAGTGTTGATGAGATTAGCCAGGTGCTAGATGGAGCGACAGGAGCTGGCTGAATGGGTTTGATGACTGCTGATGGTCCTGCCATTGCAGGTTGAATAGGTTCCCAGATTCAGACAAAAGTTGGGAAATGGGTCCCTGATAGACTCCAGAAAAGATCGCTAAACATTTGAATGTTTTATTAGTTATCTCGGTATCCTGAGGGATGGAAGGACAGTTGTGGAGGCAAAGGATTTCCACATAGTCATAGGTATTACACAAAAAGACTATGTGAAGTTCTGGAGACAGAAGGGCTATTCACCAGGTGGCCACTGAATAGATTTAGAAATGCAGATACTGTACCTGGTGGAACTCAGCATTGTTTCATATGCATACTTTTCTGGGTGGAGAGGCAAGGCTGGAGATTGTCTTGGAGGGCTGCCTTGTGCAACCTGAAACTGAAATCCTTTTGCAGAGCTGTAGCTAGCTCTGTGTTGCAGAACCAAAAGTGTATTCCTTGGCCTGAGTTTGTGGGTCTCTGGTTCAGGTTAGAAGTGGGGTGTCCCTGCTGTTAGGACTACCCTAGAGTAAGGCAGCACCTCTGGTTAACAACTGGAAGCCTTTAAATCAAAGGATCTTCTCTCCCTATAGTTGAGATAACAAAAGTACTTGGTGAAATTTACTTGGGGCGCACCTTTTTTACAGAGAACATTTCACCTGATTTCAAAGCCATTTGAACACTGTGAAGATTGCAATGGTCTAAAGCTCAAGACTTTCTAGAGATTATGACCCACCTACATAGCAAATATATTAAGAAAATTTCATGACATCTTTGCTATTTAATACCCATGTGAAGCTGCTGGGAGAGTTCATCAGGAGGATTGGGCTGTAGTGTCGCCAATAAGTGGATGATACCCAGCTCTTAATAGAGCTGTGGTGGCTCAAGTGGTTAAGATGCTGAACTGCAGGCTGTGGAAGGTCGGTAGTTCAGCAGTTCGAGACCCGAGTGTGCGCATGACGGAGTGAGCTCCTGTCTCTAGTTCCAGCTCCTGCCAACCTAGCAGTTCGAAAGCAAGAAATTGCAAGTAGATAAATAGGTACCACTTCAGTGGGAAGGTAACAGCGTTTCATGCGCATTGGCGTTTAGTCATGCTGCCCACATGACCACGGAAATGGCTTCAGACAGCGCTGGCTCTTCGGCTTTGAAACAGAGATGAGCACCGCAACCCTAGAGTCAGATTCGACTGGCTTTCGAGCAAGGGAACCTTTACCTTTACTTTTTACACAGCTCTTGTCAAAAGAAGAAGGGGATGGCAAAGGATGAGATGGTTAGACAGTGTTATCGATGCGATGAACATGAAATTAAGCAAACTCCGGAGGATGATGGAAGACAGGATGGCCTGGTATGATGTGGTCCATGGGGTTGCGAAGAGTCGGACTCGACTGTGTGACTGAACAACAACAACAGCAAACTGAGCTCTACCTTTCTTTTCCACCTAATTCCTAGAATGCTGTTGATGTTCTGAACCAGTGCTAGGAGTCAGTAATGGGTGGAATAAGGGTGAACAAGCTGAAACTAAAACCTGACAAGAGAGAAGTTCGCTGGGGTAGTAGAAAGGCAGACCAGGGACTTCAGATCTCACCTGTCTTGGATGGGGTTACATTTCCCTTGAAAAGCCAAGTTTACAGCTTGGGAGTGCTGCTTAATGTGGCAGTCATCTTAGAAAACCAGGTGTCTCCAGTGGTTCAGAATGCTTTTGCCCAGCTTCAACTGTGCATCAGCTGCATCCGTTCCTGGTTCAGCCAGATGTTGCCACACACCTTAGTTAAATCTAGAGCAGACTACTGAAATATCCTCTACCTGGAGCCACCCACCCTTGAAGAGGCTTTGGAACCTGCAACTAGTGCAGAATGCAACAGCTAGACTGCTGCTTGGGGCTAGCTTTCAGGAGAATGTGACACCAATACTGCAACAATTACTTTGGCTACCAATCCAATCTTGAGCCGAATTCAAGGTGCTGATTTTGACCTTTAAAGCCCCACATGGCTTGGGACTGGGGTATTTGAAGGACTGTGTTCTCCCATATGTCCCTGCCCAGGAATTAAGATCACAGGCCCTCCTGATTGTCCCATCAATCAAAGAAACTTGAGAGAGGGCCTTCTCAATGGCAGCCCCATGACTCTGGAACAGCCTCTCCAGAGAGATACGCCTGACCTCTCACTTTAACTTTAGGAGGCAGTTGAAGTCAGTTTTATTTAGATCACATTTGATTAAGTTACTAACAATCATAAACTATGATATAAAATTTTGGTTTTTATGTATTTTACGAATTCTATTTTAAGTATTTTATCTATATTGTAGAGCTCTGTAAAGAAGAAAGCTGGTTAATAAATGTTTTCAATAAAATAAAAAATAATAAATTGGCCAATAAGCTGTCATAAATAACAGCCCAGATCATGCATTTGGAATGTGAAAAACCCATATTAGAAATGTTGCTAACCTTGTCAAAATTCATTTGCTGTCCCCAGAAAAGCATGAAGATGGTTTGCTGTGTTGGACTCTCCAAATGAGGAAGACTGAAATCCATCACAGCTTAGTTGCCTTAAACTGTAACCAGCTAATGTTTTAAAATTCCACCCTGGTGTTTGAGCTTTACCTTAAATATCTGCAGCTCTTCCAGTATTACTTCCTCCAAGTCCCACTTCTCCTTGGTTATACTTAAAACTTTCAGGACTGTTCCAGTATCTGAAAGAAAGGGGCATATCTGAAAACAAAAAGGTTCTGTTTCAGCCCAAGCACAATACACTACTTCTTATTTTATACCAGTTCCTTTCCATGAAAACCCAAGGCTTATTTGGGAATAACATAGACACAAACCTAGCTGCCATGTGCGACATGGTGCTTTCACAGAAAAGAGCAGAAAAGTATTGCATTCCCCAACCTCTCTCTGCATGATTCAGATAAACTTACTCAGGAGGTGAGACATCATAATGTTCTGTAATTATTGTTCCCTTTCACATATTATTTATTTATTTCGATTTATATCCCCCCAGCCCTGCACGTGGGCTCAGGGCGGGTTACACAAGTCAACTCAGCAAATGTAGTGACTGTAATATACAATAAATAGGGTTAAACAATACAACAGCATTAAAACTATCTAAAAACAGTCTTGGTTAGGGCATCAGATAATTGGACGATGCTGCCTTCTAGACGATGCTCCAATGGAAAACTCATTTGGCAGAATCTTTAGATGATTAATCACAAAACACATCTCTGCATCGCAGGGGAGGCCCAGATGTAATGGGCGTCACTTGTTGCCCTGCAAGGAGCTTATACTGCAGATATACCGCACACACACCCCACCTTCGCCAGATACTACATGTATTCTGCCTAGGAGGACAAAAGACCTGTATTTGCATAAAAGGATTAGCCAACTGACTCATTGGCCAGAGCAATCATCAAACCATCAGCATTAATAATCCTGAAAATTGTCTGTAGTAATGAATTCAATATTGCCCGACCATTAAGCCCCACCACCCTCATGCAACTAGTTTTTGCCAAGAAACTTCCTGGGGGCTGAGAATGTGACAGGGGAAGTGGCCAGTGTAGTCCACTACCAAGTCCAGATAGTGTCTAAAAAGAGCAGGACCAGCCATGCTCTCTCTCTCTCTCTCTCTTCCTCTCTACCTAACATTGCCCTATCTTGTTGACTCTCAGTGAAGCACTGCCCAGAGTCTCTCTATGTGTTCTGCTGGTTCAGAATATGACCCCTTTCCCTTATAGTCTCCCTCTTTCTTTTCACTGTGAATCGCTTCGCCTCTTCAGGACAGATACGTTATCACCCACGAACGATTTGCCTGCTAATGTGAATGTGGCTATCCATTTCTATCTAACGTTCCTAGGTCTGAATAATTGTTTGTATGATTGTGTTTTTATTGTATGATTGAGAATATCCCTCAGTAAAGAATCCATTTCTTAAGACTTGGTTTCTGCGTTTATTTGTGGGTTACTGGAAAAGGGAGGACTTTGCTCACTTAGATGCCAATTGCACATTAATAACTATAATTCCCCATCTTTATTAATAACCAAAAGCAATTTGGCTAACACCATCACCTCAGCCAAAGGCCTTGTGGAACAGCTCCATTTTACAGGCCCTGCTGAATTGTAGCAGGTCCCGCAGGGCTCTAATCTCAAATGGGAGCATGTTCCATCAGGCCAGGACCAAGGCAGAGAAAGCCCTGGTTCTGGTCAAGGCTGAACAGACATTCTTTGGGCCAGGGACCACCAGAAGATGTAGATTTGCAGAGCGCAAGGCTCTACAGGGCACATAGGGGGAGAGATGGTCCCAAAGATATGCAGATCCCTGGCTGCATAGGGCTTTAAAGGTTAAAACCAGAACCTTGAACCAGATCTGGTACTCTATTGGCAGCCAGTGCAGTTTGCAGAGCACTGGCTGAATGTGTGCCCATGGAGGCGTCATCGTCAGCAGTCATGCTGCCACATTCTGCACTTGCTGCAGTTTCTAGGTCAGGGTCACTGGCAGCCCCGCATAGAGTGAGTTACAATAATCCAATCTGGAATTGACCATTGCATAGATCACTGTAGCTAAGTCCTGGGGGTAAGGTAGGGAATCAATTGCCCAACCAGCCTAAGATGATAAAAGGCTATCTGGCAACAGTGGAGACCTGGGCTTCCATGGAAAGCAAGGCATCCAGAGTCACCGCAAGGCTCCTCACCCTTGGCGCCAGCTCCAATAGTGCCCTGTCAAGTGCTGGGAGTTGGATTCCCAACCCCCCCCCCCCGACTCAGATACATAACGTCTGTCTTCGTTGGATTCAGTTTCAGTCAGCTCTGTTGCAACCATGCCATGGCCTGTAATGCCGTAATGCTGTAATTATCACTTGTTGTATTGAGGAAATTACATGGTTAAATCTGCCCTGTAAAAAGAGAGGGGTTGGCCATGCACAGTTGTTGGAGTTTTTATATAAAATCACAATTCATCAGAGAGAAAAAACAGCTTAGCAGCGTTAGAGTAAAATAATCCAGACTCAGAGTCCATGTGTGTTTAAAATAGAAAAGATTTACTACATCCTAGCATAGGGAAAGGTAACTGGGAAGAAAATAACAACAGAGCTAATAGCTACATCTTCACTCTACAAAGGACGAGACTAGAAGAGCTGCAATGGCTTCTCTTACACGCTTCTTGTGGAACAGAACAAAGACGGGAAGAGGAGCCATAAAATGCTAAAACACTTTGACACTTTGCTTCCAATCAAACTCCTAGATCAGGAAGAATTTTCCCGGGCTTGCAGACCTAAACTAACATTGGCTCACACAAAAGCATGTGATTTCCTGTAACAACACAAACAGACATTTAACCCCATATACACTGAAGTGTTTTTAACATGTAATACCCAACAACAGTAAAGATCTCACCAATGAGGCAAGTGACTGCTTCCTAGACCCTCCATGTAGCCCTTCTGGATGGCACTGTTGGCATCCCCGTGGGAATGACCTCTTGGAGGGTGACCTGCCTTGATGTCCCACCACCCACGACGCCCTGAGTGAGGGGAGCCTTTCTTAGAGGGATCTCCTGTTCCCCTTTCACTTCTCCCTGCTCAGGTGCCTGTGGAGGAAAGGGGAGGACAAATGTTGGGGGTTTGTGCCCTTCTGGACATGGATGTGACACACCTAGCACTCTGCCACACAGGGGTCACTAGGGAGGGTGCAGAAATGTTTCCAAACAATGCTCCAAGGACTGGAGAAGGTAGGAGGAAGGGCAGCTGCTTTCTGGCACTGGAGTGGGAGAGGCCATGGAGGAGTGCACTGGAGGCAGCAGCAGCAGGGAGTCATGTGGAAAGGGAGGATGCTTCCCCCCAATCACTGTCAGAGACTTCTCCAAAGAGTGCTATCAAAAGCTTATCTTTGAGCAGTGCTAAGAACTCTTTGTCCTCTGTGGAGAGCCCCAGGAAGAGATCAGGGAAACGAGGCTCTGAGACCTCTGCTGATGCCCTGCTAGGGGTGGGCGCCTGTGGGCTGGAAGGATGGGTCTGGTGCCCAGGGGCAGGGGCCTGTGGTATGGGGGAGTGGGTGGAGGACTTTTTCCCTCCACTACAAGCATCCTTTGCACCCTCTTTTACCCTCATGGCACAGAGGGATTGGTTCACAATCAGGAGGGGTAGGAGGGTATAAAATGTGGGTCCTCAGCTGAGGAACCCACTAGCTAAGCCCCTCTGCATGGCATTAGCAAAGGGACAGGGTGGCTCAGAACCCTGAGTCCACCTAACACCAAAACCCCAGCAAGGGAGAGTTCTTAATCATGAGGGAATATGCTCTGCTACTTCGCTTTTAAGAAGTTCCCTGCCTCTCTTGGTAATTGCAAGCAGCTGAGAGAAAAGAGGCTGCAGAGCTGAGCTGAGCATATATATAGCATCCTGATCCCATAGAGCAGAGTGGGAACTCTGTTATTGGCAGCTAGCACTGCCTGCTAAACTTTGGAGGGCTCCTATTGGTGTTTCCAAGGCTGGAGAATTCCACCCCCCATTGCCTTAGAGTTTTGTAAACCGTTTGAGTGGAGACAGTTTGTCTGGAAAACGAGCCCATTTGCGGGGAGGGTGGGGTATAAGTACAAATAAATAAATAAATATCCATTCATGAGTCACCACAAACCACACCAAAGTTCGTGAAATGTTTGTGCCAGATGCTCTTTCATGAACATGGCTGTGCAAACCTGAAACCGGCCAAAATTAGAGATGAACTTTAGTTTGTGAGCCAGTTCATGCCCATCCATACTCTTTATGTCCCCCTTATGGACCTCTCATACAGACATCACAAATGCCCCTAGAAACATATGCACCCCTGCTCTTGAGCATACCTGTGCCCAGGAACATTACGTCATACTGGCCATCCTCAGCTATGACACGATCCACCACAATCTGAGTCAGCCTGTAGTTGACGTTGATTTGAGTAAACACAGGTGCTCCGGTCACTGGGTAGACTGATTTGTGCATCATTGGATGTCGCCGTATGAAGCTAATGACATCATCTGGAAAATCTCTGGTGGATTTGATCGATGGATCATATGTTTTACTTGGACACTGAATAGCAGGGAGATGACAGAAGAGCCACATAAGTTCTTGATCATCTGAGGCCAGCTTCTAAGTAGCTACCACCTGATTACCTGTAGTGGTAAAAAACCTACCTCTAAGCAACCAGGTTTGGTTTTTTTAAACACTTTAACCAAATGAGAAAGATTGAGTAAACAGACTAGGGAAAAGGTTATGGGCTAGAAACAGGCACTGTCTTACAGAAGTACACGATATTGCCTGACGTGTTTTCTGTGGCTCCTTTTCTATGGCTCCAAGTACTCTTCCTAGGGTACATGGAGCAAGAGAAATGGGGCATAAAGCTATCCTCTGCTGCTTCTGCTGGCAAAAGGTGTGTGGCAGGGAAACCAGAAACTCCTTACCCCCCCCCCTGCAGCATCATTGAGTGGATAAGCACTGTTTAATGTGAGTTTCCCAATGTACGTCTGACTGTGAGCCCAATGTCATGCACCTGTGACCCAATATGTGTTGGGTATATCGTGCATTTGAGCTCTTACTTGCAAGACTGCCCTTGTATATTGACACACAATTGTCTTATTGCTTAAAAACAACATTTACTTTCTGTTTGAAAAAATCTTCAATGAAGGTCAACAGCAGGCTTGTACTGAGGTCTCTTGTACCACTGTTCTCATACCCCTTTTGACAAGCTCAGACAAACCCCACCTCCTCAGTTTCACACGTTTCTCCTTACAGATACACAGTCCTGTGGCCAAAATTAGTACCTGTCCTTTGAGATGAAAGACTTGAGAAAAGAAGTCCCAGGAGTTCTCATGGTAGCCACCCTGGAAGTGACAATTCTCCAGCATTTATGGAACTTTATTTTGGCATTACAAGTGCAAAACATTTAATGGTGCAATTCTATGCATGCTTTCTCAGAAGTAATTCCCACTGTGTTAGGGCTCCCAAGTACTTATCTTGATTCGGCGGGGGATATATAGTTCTTCGCGGGACCATTCCTGCGGGGAAAACACAGGTGCTGCATTATTCCGTCACCCAGACGTGATGTAGGCA